GATGGAGGCGGGGGAGCTTCCTTCCGGGTGCTGGGACCAGCTGAGCTTCTCTGCCCTAGGAGCCTGGGATGGAGATCGGGAGCTTCCTTCCAGGTGCTGGGACTGGCTGAGCTTCACCGCCTTAGGAGCCTGGGATGGTGGCAGGGGAGCTTCCTTCTGGGTGCTGGGACCAGCTGAGCTTCTCTGCCCTAAGAGCCTGGAATGGAGGTGGGGAGCTTCCTTCCGGGTGCTGGGACCGGCTGAGCTTCACTGCCCTAAGAACCTGGGATGGAGGTGGGGAACTTTCTTCCGGGTGCTGGGGCCTGCTCAGCTTCACTGCCTTAGGAGGGAATGAGTTTCTTTTCGGAGTGACGACATGGTCTAAAATCGGTGGTGGTGATACTACACAACTTCGTGAGTATATTCAAAAGCACTCAACTGTACACTTTAAATGGGTGAATTATCTGCTCTGTGAATTGCATGCATCTCAGTAAAGCTGCTAGAAAAACAACAAAGCCTGCTGCAAAATGCTATAAACCCATCTGACACTGGGGTTCTGTCTCTGATAACCTCACTACACGTCACACCTGTGGAAGCTGGGCATGCAGGGAATTCACTTCACTTACTGACACCCTCACTGTACTGGTTATTTACCCACAGGATCTCAGGGCTAGCTGGGAACTGCACAGCACATATTGCTGGGGTGGGACACCATCAAAATTCAATATTCAAAGGGTGCTACCACTTGGAGATGTATGGCAATCTGCACCATCACAAAGCCGAAAAATTGTGAAGCTGAACCATCATCAAGCCAGGGACCGTCTGCGAGAGGATTCTGACATGCTTACTAATCTTTCTTCCATCTTGGAGGCTGCAAGAATCATCTCTGGAGCTCTTTCAAACCACATGCTGCTCCCTCACCGAGGGGAGTGGCCCCAGGTGGGTGCAGGTAGACAAAGATGGCTGCACTCATGCTAGGAGCACGTGGATCAACATCCCCTTGGGGAGGTGGTAGACAGGGCCAAGCTCAAAGTCCCCGCACTTTCTTTCGTCCTTTTGCCTACATCCCTCTCCTCTTTCCACTGGGCTGCTGCGTTCCCTACTGCCCCTAAAATAATTGCTCCTGGAGCCTGGCTCATCCTGCTCATGAAGTCCCTGGTGGGGCACACCTCTTCAGCACCATCAAAATCCTACCTGCTCTGCCACGAGCCGTTTCCCTGGCTGCTCGGCCTCTTGCTGAGGGCACCTGCCCCAGAATTCCCACACTTTTTGGGGCACCCATTCCCGCCGCAGCCTGGAGCGGTCCCCCTCGCACACCTCGGAGGTGCTTACTTAGAAGCGTGCAGGCCCATCCCACACACCTTCGTGCACTCCACAACGGGGCACACGAAACAGGCTCGAAGAACAGGTGACCCTCGGGGGAGCCCAGTAGGGTGCTCTGGTGAGACTCCGCACAGACCCTGGCCCGAGGGCAGATGCCTCCCACATCCTGCTCGCCAGCCCGCTGCCCTGGGACAACCCAGGTTTCATGGGAAACTGGCCCATCCACACAGCCTTGTGGCTGTCACTTCCCAGCACGCCCCCGGAGAGCACGGGAGACAAGACAGAAAGGAGCCAGACGCTTCTTGCATTTGCTTTCTCTAAGCCAGAAGAAACGTAAATACCTCAAGTGCATATGGGAGAAAAAACCCAGAAACTGCTTTACTCAAAGGTGCACAGATTTTAGTAACTGTCGTCATTCTTTTCTAAAATTCATGTCCGTCCAATTTGATGAGCTGAATGGCACAGAGAGAGCGGGCTGCGAGCTACCCTCGAAGGTTCTCGGCATTCCTGCGTTTTGCGGTTTTGTTTGGGGGGGGGGGGGGGGGGAGTTGCAAACTCACTATTACATGTGACCTCGAGAAATCACACTGCTAGCACATAAAGTCCACGCAGTGTTATCTGTCTTTTAGGCACAGAGAAAAACCCAAAGCAGTTAACAGGTTCTTCATGACGTAGTAAGAAACGCGCTGGATGATTTCACTTACTCAGAAGCAAGCGTAGGCAAATCCCTCCTTGCGCCCACACTTTCTCTCCAGGCGGCTCTTCTATCTTCCGTTACCTGTTAAGGAATGACACGAGAGTGAGGCGAAACTGTCAGCAAGCACACGCGGAAGTATCCGTGGCCCCTTCTATAGCGGGCCAGGTATCTGCATCAGTCAGCGTGGTCACCCCCTGCACTACGATGCCTCGCCAACCTTGGGCCACACGTGGGGCAGTGTCCCCACCTTCCTTTGCAGATGTATTTATTTATTTATTTAGGTACTGGGGATCGAACTGAGGACCTCGCACTTGCGAGGCAGGTGGCGGCACCACAGAGCTGAATCCCCGGCCCTGCGGATGTACAGTTTATAATGCTCACACAGCCACAGAATCAGCGTTCTCAGAAGCTTTATGGGGAGTGACCCCGTGAGGTGGCGGACAACCGTCATGGGTGGGTTCACGGATGAGCCTCTGTTCAGCGCTACAGCGAGACTCTTCCACACCCCTGCTCGGGAGCAGCGCCATCTCTGAGTGATCGCGACCACAGCATTGCCAGGGCACTTCAACTCCCAAACTACCGGCCCGGCTCCAGCAACCACACCATCTTCTCCGCCACCCCAAAGCATGCGGAGCAGAAAGTCAGGCATTTCCAGAAGCCAGGGCAGCTCGGCAAGTCTGCACGGAGACTTGGGGACGAACTTGCCAGGGAAGGGGAAGGACAGTGAGCTAATAACCAGGTGCACTAGGTCATTCAAGGTCAGTGGAGACAGTGAGCAGGGGGCAGGGAGTTGGCTTGCAACTGGAGTCCTGGGCAGAGCTCCCAAGAATCGCCACGAACCTGAGCCAATGCACAGCCCATCTGCCACCCTTCTACCACACGCTGTTGCACACCGTATCTATTTGAACAGAGATAAGGAGCCAGGCATGACGATGTGCACTAGCAGTCCTGGCTACTTGAGAGGCTGAGGCAGCATGATCTCCAGTGTGAAGCCAGCATTGGCAACTTACTGAGATCTTGTCTCAAAATCCAGTGGTACCTCAGTTCATGAACTTAATTCTTTCCAGGATTCTGACTGCAAACTGAATTGAATGAGAACCAAATCAAATGCAATGGTTAGGTTTGACATTGACCTCATGGGGAAATTTGACCTGGCTCTCGTCTAATCCGGTCTGGGACTAGAATTGTGGAAAGAATTAAGTTTGTGAACTGAGGTGCCACTGTCTAAAAGAAAAGGGCCGGGGATGTAGCTCAGTGGTCGACCACTTGCTCTGCATGCACAGAGACCTGGGTTCAGTCTCCAAAGCCAAGGATGGGAAGGAGGGAGGGAGGGAAAAGAACAGACCTGCAGGCCCCTTTGCTCCTAACTAATGCTAACAAACTAACTCTGGTTAAGTTTCCTCAACTGTAAAACAAGAACATGAAACTATTTACGAGGTTTCCTCCACATCAGAGAAACATGAGGGGCCGTTTTCCTGTTGACTTCCTTTGTAACTTGCCTAGAACTCACCTAAGAACTTGTAAAAGAAAGAACAAGAGAGAAATCCAGAGGGAGGGAGGGCACATGTGTCTCACAGCCGACTGAGCCTGGAATTACAACAAGGATGCAATGTTTCCAGACTCACCACAGCAATGAACATCACACCTCCAGAGAAATCCAAGTTGTGTGTCAGGAAAACAATGCAAAAAATCTCAGGTATGTTTTCGGAAGCCACTAAGCATGGCAGGAGAACTGGAGTTCCCTCCAGATGCCCTTCCTTAGCTCAGCGGGCCCTGAATTAACCTGAGGTGGCGGTGCCAGGCCCTGCTGTCCTCAAGACAGGTTCAAGTCCTCAGCACTGAAGCCGCTGTTTCCATGTTACCAAATCCAACGGCATCCGCCCTGCACACTGAGGCGACTCGTCCAGCAACAGACTTGTTAAGTCCTTTCTATCACTGCTTCCCAAGCGGCAGCGATTTTGCTCCCTAGGGAATGGGAGGTAATGTCTAGGGATGTGGTTAGGCCTGGGGAGGAATCTGCTGGCATCTAATGGGCAGAGGCCAGGATGCTGGCGGCCCCCTTGAGGGCCCCGGGAGCCCCTTGGCAAAGACGGCAATATTGCCCCAGTTGAGCCCGGCTTAAAGCACACTAACGTTTCTACCATTTCACAGAGGGTATGCTTTATATATTTTCATTTCCAATCCATCTTTATTATTTTCAAAGTAATACATGAATGTGATCTTCTAAAGGTAAAATACAGGGTAGTCTAAAGTCTCCTCTTTAAAAATTACCAGCAGGGGCCAGGGATTTAGCTCAGTAGTTCTGACGCCTGCCGCGCAAGTGCAAGGTCCCAAGTTCGATCCCCAGTACCAAAAAAAAATTAAAATTACCAGCAGTTGAGCACCTTCAGCCACTCCCCAATTCTACTTCCTAAAGCAGCCACTTTGAAAGCTTAGAACTGTTTTTGTTATTGTTGGTGTTTCTTACTGCTAACTTCCAAGTTTCTGAATAATCCGCTTGTAATACTAAAAATACTTTGCGGAAGTAACATTCCGCAAAACCAATCTTCAAAATAACGTGTTGATCTTCTCACATAGAGAAGCTTTTAACTTTTAAAAATTCCTACAACCAATTCTATGCTTAACTTCCCACATTTTCCTAATCTTTGTTATGTAATCTGGGGGGGTTAATTCTATACGCACTATTTTGACAATGGGATGAGTACTGCCGAATAAGCAGTATAGTTTGATGAAGATTCACAGGGCCAGGGATTTAGCTCAGTGGCACCGTGCCTCCCTGGCAAGCACGAGGTCCTGAGTTTGAGCCTTGGTACCAGGAAAAAAAAAAAGATTCACTTCTTACTCAACTTTTGGATTTTTCTGAAGTTACTGGCTGCCTCCGTTTTTACTTTAGTTTCTTTCTTTCTTATCTATGTATCTGTCTAATCCTCCTAAGAGTAGAACCCAGGGCCTTTGCACTTAGTTACATACTCAGTGCCCCCCTTTTTCACTCCGTGGTACGTACCGTGCAAACTCATCCTGGGGAGTTGGTACGAATACAGATCGCATCTTCTCACTGCTTCCCCTCCCGGTCCCCTGCAGTCCGCACATCCTCTACCCATCTCCACAAAGTCTATCCTGTCCTCGGGCAATTCTTCCAAGACCCCGGGACGTTCTCAGATTCAACCTCTCGCATGATCAGGACCTCAGACAACCCATCAGTACCATGTGTTCCGGGTGCCTTCCAATGGCCCCCCTCCAATCCCCGCTTCCTGGGTCTACTCCCTCACTCTGCTGGGGCCAACAGAGAAGCGATGTGTGAAAGTTGAGTCTACCAATGTGCCCGATGTGTGCGAACATTGTCATTCCAGCCTTCATAATTGCTGGAGGGAAATCTTCAAACTTCTGAGTGCAAATTATTTTCGAACAATTCCGCACTCAAGTGTGTTTTCTAACTTCTGGTGTTGCTGTTAAAGAAATCTGATGCCATTCAGATTACAGTGCTTTCGCACCTTTTTTAATCCAGGAAAGTACTTAGGCGCTACCTGTATGTCTATTGTTTTAATATGACCTGGTGATAAGCTCTGAAGTGGTAACATTTTTAATTCATTCTTCTAGTCACTTGGTGTGAAATTTCTCCTTTCTACAGAGTTAAGAATTTGTGCCAGGCATGGTGGCACACGTCTGTCATCTGAGCACTCAGGAGGCTGAGGCAGGAGGAACACCACAAGTTCCTGGCCAGCCTGGGCTACATAGTGAGTTCAAGGCCAGCCTGAACTACATAGCAAGACTTTGTCTCAGAGAAAAAAAAAAAGAATTTGGTGGGTTGCTCTTCTGTTGTTTTGGTCGGTGTATTCTCTCCCTGCCCCCTAATTCCTATTAGGCAAATACCTGAATAAACACAGCTCCTTTGCCCAGTAAACCTTCCTGCACTATTTCTTCACAGTCTAACAAGGTGTCCACTAGCTAAAAGTGAGCACAAGAAATGCAGCTAGGAGGAACAAACTAAATTTTTATTTAATCCCAACTAAGCTTAGTCACACATGGTTAGCGGCGAGGATATTAAAGTAGAGCAGCACAAATATAAAGATTTACAATAGGAAAAAAAAAGACAACAGGAAAATCAAGGCACTTAGCACCGATTCTAAGATGACAGCAAACTTGAATTCAGAAGGAAAATATGAAAAAATTTCTAAATGCCATCACCGCTATTTTCCATATGAAGTCCCCAGATGCAATTCCTTATGGGTTCCTCCCTCATAGCAACGAGGACCTCAGTGAGTACGGGAGAAATGCTTTCTAGAAATAGGGAAATGGGGATTCCCTGTGGCAAATTTAAAAGAAAGGTTATAAGGAAGGACGATGGCAACATCCTCAGAGGCTGTGCAGACGACTACACTTCTCTGTCTTCGTGGTTTGTTAAAAAATGATTTCCTGTAAGCTGGATGTTCTAGCAACACAGAGAAACTAGAAATGCACACCCATACCGTGGCTTTCTCCACCCATGCACTCATTCGAGCAACGTGAACACAAATAGAGCCCAATGCTGCCTGTGCACTCTATCAACAGTGGTACACACAGAAAAGAAAGCCATACTGTACCACAAGTCCTACGCATCCGCTACACAGTGTTCCCTCTGAGCTGCTGGAATCACTTTTCATTAAAGCCTCAAGCCTAGCATACAGCAAGGCACATAATAGGTGTGTATTTAAAACAAGTATGGCACAGAATCCAAACCAAAGGAAAGTCACTATTCAGCTCAGAAGAAAAATAGACATAGCAGCTCTGTAGGTACAGAGAAATAAACACCCAGGGATATTTATTCCGCTCTTGAGTTGAGTCATTCAGTACTCATTAGTTCCTGCGAAATGAGAAACTTTATTATGCTTATAGGTTTGACAAGTTCAGTGTGAAACCACGAGCTACTCAACTAAAAAGAAAAAGAGATACTAAATAAAACACATAAACTTGATTTCCTCCTTCCTGTCTTACGAAGCTTAATAACAAGTATTTTGTGCTTGTAGAACTGGCAAAATCAATACTCCGAAACAGAAAGCAAACCTACGGGAAATTTTAATAGGTGGACAGTCACACAGTATTTG